TTATATACATATTAAGGCCGTGACCTTTGTAGCTTAGTCATACAACCATCAATTTATTTTATAAACATATTATTATAAATTATAATATTAAATATATAATTAAATTATTTAAAAATGCCTTAAAAAGCTTAAAAATATTATAAATAAATTATAATATATTAAAGCTTTTAATAAAGCTAAAAACCTAAAAAAAAAGTATATAATAATAAAGCGAAAAACTCTTTATATAAAAATGATAATAAGTTTATAATAAAAAAGGTATTTAAATAAGTATAAAAAGCGTATTTAAAAGATATTTAATAATAATTATAAAAAGTAAATTTATTATAAAACCGGATTTAAGGACTTATATAATATAATGATTATATAAACCTGAAAATATTTCTTTTTATTTAAGAGTTTATAAGTAAATAAAGGTTTATAAAATTTGTTTTTTTAATTTTTAAAGGTTTAAAACAAGCTTTTTAAAAAAAAAAGGGAGGTAATATTATAACGTGGCTTATTATATATTTATATACTTATATTTTACATATTTATTAATAAGTTTATAATCTTTAAATACTTTATAATTTATATATAAATTATAATTATAAAAGCTTTATTCTCGTATTTTTTATTTTTATATTTTGATAAAATTATATATTAAAAAACTAAATACTTAATATAAAAAAAGTAATCAGTTTTTAAAATATAAAACTAAAAAAATAATTTAAATAATAATAATTATTAATTAATTTTTAATATTGCGTAAATATTTTTTAATAATTAAAACTATAAAATTTATAAAATTTAACTTACTTATTTATATAGCTTACTTGCTTATAAAGCACGTTAAATATAACTATTAATATATATTAAAAATGGAAACCCCAAATTTTTTTTATAATAAGAATAAATAATTTTCTAGGTAATATTCGCAGTCCCGCGAATGAACTTGTAATGTGGGGGAATCCCCGCACTTTTCCTACCACCCCTCTCCCCGCACAAAAAAAAGTAAAGAGGGAGATTAACAACTAACCAGTTTTTTAATACAACGTCCCATCTAACGTCAATAGTTACGTAGCAACATGTCCAGCGCGAACGAGACCGGTACGCATACTATATTATATGACCCTATAAGTACATACTTACCTATTTGCTTAAGTGAACCTCGATACCCTGAGCGCCCAGCAGCTCGCCCAGGTCAAGAAGCAGCTCGATGAGGAGCTTGAGCATCTGACCTCCTCCTTCACCCAGCTCCATGCCGCCCAGTCCAAGTTCCGAGAATGCCTTCGCTGTGTCCAGGGCGGCAAGTCGTCCGCCCTCCAGCGTGCGTGTTCCATCTATCTATGTTTCTACCTACACGACCCAGCAACAGAGCTCACTAATGCGCCCGGTCTGATCGATGGCTGTAAATAGAAGATAAACCTATCTTAGTACCTCTTACTAGCTCCCTCTATGTTCGCGGGAACCTCTCGAGTGCCTCTCACGTTGTTGTCGACATCGGTACCGGCTTCTATGTCGAAAAGGTAGAAACCCTCTTCCATCTCTGTCCCATGATGAGTATTCACACACTGGTAGGAGGTCAAATCGGCAGCTGAGTTCTACGAAAACAAGGTGGGCGAAGTTGGAGGAAGCATCAAGGAACTCGAGGCAATTGTGCAGGCCAAGACGAACAATGTTCGTGTCGTCGAGGAAGGTATTGCTCATCAACCACTTCCCCTAGCGAGGGAGCCCCTGTGATTACCTACTAACAAGTTCTTGCTATCTAGTTCTCAGGCAGAAGATGGCCTCTGGCCCCCAGCAGACCCCTCCCTCTTCCTAAAATTACGACAGGCGCTATCGGATGCCACCATACCCTTTGTGTATGCCACATACGGCTCCAGAATACCCCTCAGGATACCATTGGACGTCCTGTAGAGAATTCACCTGACTGCTGTGATTAATATACCCTCTACCTTAGGGGCAGGGAGACCAAATATGCGAGATGGCATATGGCAGAGAGGCAAAGTGTCCCGGTCGTGATGTGCTGTGTTGCTTCGGCAAAAAGCTATCTTGGTGCTATCAGCGGTGGCCATGATATCTAGGGTGAAGGGCGAGCATAGTCTTCGATGCCCTCGAAGGCGTCGCGGATGTCACGGACTATTCCTAAGAATTTTCGTACTCTGTCTGGGAGCCCTAAAACCTCACCATTGCCTTCGTCACGGAATAGAAACTCCAGGTCTCCACCCCAGATGTTCCCGACCGTCTCCTCATTTGCCAATCGGATATCCTCGTCCCAGGATTCGCCGTAGATGCTAAGGCTAAAGTCTATGGACGGTTCTCTCCGGTCTGCTAACTCTCGGATGCCGTTCCAACGCCGATTGATCGCAATCTCGACTGTGTATCCGGTGGCTTTCCAGCTAAAGCGGTACGCACTTTTTATGGCGACCGTCTTGAAATAAGAGGCCAACACATGATGGCGTGCAAGTGAGATTTTGGGATAGGCGTCGAAGTCACTCTGCAGACCTTCCATCTGGATTGTTGCTGATTGGAAGTAATGGTGGACACTTTGAAACTTCTTCTCGTCCTGGTCTTCACATATGGCTTCCAATTTCCAGTCGAGATTCCTATGAAGAGGTCAATGTGTAAGCGATAGCGCAAATACCGGCAGTATGATACTCACTTTCCAAGGCTAATATTGGTGACGTTGAGCTCGGCGATTCTGGCATCCCGGGGGTAGACTCTCGCTCGCGATAGCTGGTAATAGACCACTTTATCCCTACTAGACTCAGCAGAATGCTTGGAATTATTCATCACCGCGAGGGTTGCCTCAAATTTCGCATCATCGGAGTATGCCTCGAAAACGTAATCCGGGACGACGTGAGCTGCTGACGGGATCTGGCTATCCATGGGAACAAAAGGACTGCTGCCCTCTCTGATGAAGTCCAAGGTAGCCTTAGCAAGCGTTCTGTCGCCGATCCTAATGGTGAGCAACGTTAGCGCGGCCGTCGGTGGAAGGGCTCAGGTGGCTACCTACTGCGTCTTGAACCGCCCCAAAGCCCGAGGGTTCTTCACCATGGTCTCAAATTGTCCGTAATCGTAGCTGTGACTGCCACGGGGGTATCGTTTTAGTACATAGTGGCCTAGATGTATTCTCAAGGTCAAGCTGGTGTGGAAACGGCCCTCCTTCCTTAATGCATCAACAAGGGCGTGCGAGATACCTCCCGTGTACTCACGGGTATCGTCGTCGTGCTTTAATCCGGCAATGTGGTCATCTTGTCGCTTTAGGTACGGCCGTGCCTCACCAGTCACATCATTGACATGGAGCTCAATCTGGAAACCGTTCTTCACGTTGGATGGGGGCTCAACATGGAGACTCTTGGTGGTATCTGGCTGGTCCGTGACGAGATCCCGAGACCGTGTCTGTGCTGTTTCAACTAACTTATAAGCGTCATCCTTTTTCGGCGCTATGATGCGTAGGTATGACCCTGCCGGTGTACTTTGAAGCTCCACAGAGCAGTTAGTGCTGTCATGAACTAGTTCTCGGTGGACAGCCTCAACAACCCCCGAAATCGACTCCGACTTCCCAGACACAATGAACTTAGCCTAAGATAGCAGTATCAGTCTATATATCTAGGGCGCTGGTGACGAGCAGTGCGGGCATACAGTCACCTGTCCACGGAGGGGCTGAAATCGTAACGAGTGATTCGAGCGACTCCTAACCCGTGCCAAGTCACGCAAGAGCATGACTGATGATGGCTCGGGCAGCTGCAGCGGAGTTGGCTGGGGAGTCAATGCAGTTGTTCGGGTTGCCTGCGGGTATCCCTCGCTGGGGATGTATTTTAGAGTCTGTTCCTCGAGTTGATCATGGTTACTAAATGCGTACGGATACATGCTTGAAGCCTGCAATTGGTGTCGGACGTGCTGCTGGGTGGTGGCTGATTTGCGCTGAGAATATGACATAGAGCCGAGATCAGGGGGCGGGTACATGGCGATTGTAGCAACTTGGTGGATAGGGTCGTTGGATAGGAGATGCATAGCGTGGCATGTTTGTATAGAGTTGGCATCGCGGCGTGGCGGTGAGTCTTGACTAGCAAGCAGTAGGGGTCAGTCTGACGAAATAGCAGCCAGACGAATGAACAACTCACAGGTCGATTAACAAGTCCATTACTTGACTACGATTGACCAGGAAGGCATAATGGGAAAAAACAATTTTTAGGTCCAGAAAACCACCGAGTTTCGTGCAAGGTAGTTACAAAATACCCTTTATTAAAATAATAAGCACAATATTATTACAATTAATAAATATAATATAATGAAAAAAGCTCTTATAAACTTTTAAAAATTCTAAAAAAGGGGTTTTTAATTTATATTATTTAAATTATTATATTTAATTTTATATTTCACAATTTAAGTACTTTTTTAATATTAAATGATTTTTTATTTATAAATATTTATTTTCTAATAAAATTATTTTATATATTAATATTAAAGTCATTTTTAAATGTTAATTATAAATATTTATAATATAAAAAAAACTTTTATTTATAATAAAATAATATTATAAAAAGTGATATAAATATATATAAAATACGAAAAAAGGTGATTAATTAATAACGAAAAGCTTAATTTTAAAGTTTTATTAAAGCTTTTTTTATAAACTTAATAATTATATATAATATTATACTTTATATCGTTTTATATTAAATAGTTTAAATTAGTTTTTAAAATATTATTAAAATTAAAAATATATAATTATTATTTATATAAATAATATAATAATAACATTTTAAAAATTAATTAAAAAGGGTTTTTAATATAACGTTATTTATAAATTAATAAGTCATTTAAATAAATAAGTTACTCGATTTTTAATATAAAATCAAGGTTTTTAAATATATAAAAATTATAAAAAAATTATAAAATTAAAATAAATCATTTAAATTAATAATAAATCTTTATTTAATATATAATTAATAAAGCCTTAGCTATTAAATTACTAGTAAAATATATATACCATGTTATAAATAATATTGTTATGTCTCGTGGGGCAGTGATCAGCCCGTGCAGGTCACCGACCGTAAGACCAAGGTCGCTAGTTCGAATCTAGCCGAGACTGAAATTCTAGGTTTACATTTTTCCTTTTTTAATTTTTTATTAAATTTCATAAAAAAAGTAAATAATATTTAACTTTTAAATAATAATATTTCGTTTATTTTATTTATATAACACTTTATTAAATAAATAAATAAAACATAGTTATAAATAAACGAAATTTTATAATTATTATATTTTTAATTTTATAACGTACTATTTAAACGAATAAGTTATATAAATAAATAAACTAGTTTTTATAATTATTAAACTTTTAATTATTAAAAATTATTTACATAATATTAAAGCATAAATATAAAAAATACAAAGATAAGGCTTTTATAATTATAATTTATATATAAGCTACGAAGTATTTAAATATTGTAACCTTATTAATAAACACGTGAAATGTAAGTATAAAAGTACATAGTAAATCACATCGTAACACGTAACATTAAAATTAATTAATAATTATTATTTAAATCGTTTTATTTAGTTTTACATTTTAAAAATTAAGTATCTTTTTATATTAAATATTTAGTTTTTAACATATAATTTATATAAATTAGATTAAAAAATTATTTATTATTATTATAATAACGTGTAAAATTATATTTATATATTATTTAAATAATTATTATATAAATATAACTAATATAAAATTAATTAAAAAAACACTAAATTTTTAATTTTTAATATAAGATAATAAAGGGTATAACATTATATATAAATATCTATTATTTCGTCGATTTTACTAAATATATAAATAGGTTTATACTATTTTGTCGCCGATATAAATTTATAATTAATTTAACTTTAATAAATATATAACTAAGTTTTATAAAAAGGTATTTCTTATTATTAATATTATTTATCTTATAAAAACTTTATTATAAATAAATGCTTTTTTTAATATAAAAAATTATAAAATCGTTATATTTATTAATATGTAAGTAAATATAATTAAAAACGTTTTTTAATATTTAAACTAGTTTCTTGTTAATAATTTCTTAAGTAACGAGTTAAACTTCTCGTTAATGTTAACTTGTTTTGTTGATAGTTTTTAAGTTTCTCGTTAATTACCGAACCGCTCGAATTTCTTGTTAACACCTTTATGAAATCACTCGCCGACCGCCAAAATTTGACTGCGCCGACAAGTTTTATAAATATAAATATATATAAAATAAAATATTTATTAAGATTAATAACATGTCTTTTCGTTATTAATATATAATAAAAAATAATAATAAAAATAATATTATATATAAATATTAAAAATTAAGTTTATAAAAAGAAGTTTTTCACTATTAATTTATTATCTTTTTTTACTTTATATATATTTATATTAATTTTATATAATAAAAATTTAAATATATTTAAATAAATAAATAAAAGGCGTTTTATAAAAACTGAAATATATATTAAAAATAATATAAAATAATATAATAATAATAAATATGAAACGATATAAATAATTATAATTAACGTACCATATAAGCGAGTAGACAAAACAAGCTCGCGGACGAAATGGATTCCTATATAAAATGGACTTTTTCGAAAATTCATAACTTTACTTACAAAAATCGGAAAACTCTTAGACCTTTTTTTCTAGTTATATAGTTATATAGTTTAATTAAAATAAAATTCAAAAGAATTGATATTAAAAAACACGAAAAGAAAACGCGTAAAAACTAAAATCATACCAAAACGCACGGACCTTTTACGTATTTCTTTATATATTTCATTTGTTATTTTAATTAAACTATATAATTATATAATTAAAAAAAAGGTTCGAGATTTTTACGATTTTTATGCGTAAAGTTATAAATTTTTGAAAAAGTCGATTTTATATAAAAAATTAAGTAACTTACTTGCTTATATAGCTTACTCGCTTATAAAACACGTTAATTTATATATTTAAATTAATTATAATATAAAAATAATAGTTATATTAATTAATTTTAATTAATAATAAATAATTAACGTATTATATAAGCAAGTAAACGAAACAAGCTCGCGAATAAAATTGTAAAATTATTACACTTTTAATTATTAAAATCATTTACGCCGCATCGAAATTAATTAATAATTATTATTATTTAAATCGTTTTATTTAATTTTATATGAAATTTTTTATTTTTTAAAGCGTAATTTATATTACTTAATTTATTATATTTTTTAAATTAAAATAAATAAATAAATAATAAATAAAATTAATTATAACTTTTCGAAATTTAAATTATTAAATATCTTTTTATTTATTATATAAGTATTATTATTTTTATCTTCATTTATTATATAAATATATATATTATATCGTTTTTATTTAATTCTTACCTTTTTAAGGTTTCCCTTTTTTATTATTTTTTTAATTTATAAAATTACCTTTTTTATATATTAAATAATCTTTTTATTTATAATTATTTATTAAAAATGTGGTTTATTTTTTTAAAAATAAGTAGTTTTATTTCGTAATAAAAACACTTTATATATTAATATTAAAATAATTTCTATAAAATATTTATAAAAAAACTTTTTAATGTTTTTTATTTATATTTATAATATAATTAAATTATAAAAACATTTTACGAGTTATTATAAATATTTTAACTTTTTAAAACACTTAATTTATATTAAAGTCGAGGAAAAATATACGTATTATTTATATTTATATAAATAATATAATAATAACTTTTTTTAAGTTAAAAATTAATTTATATAACGTGTCTTATAAGTAAATAGGTTATATAAGCGAGTAAGTTAGTTTTTATAACTTTTATAGTTTTAACCATTAAAAAATATTTACGCGGCATTAAAATAAAAAATAAAAAATAAAAAAAATTAATTATAACTCCTCGAAATTTAAATTATTACATAATTTTTTAATTTATAAAGTTATTTCTTTTTTTATATTAAGTGTTTTTTTATTTATAATTACTTATTTTTAGTTTTATGTCGTTTATTAAAAGTGTAATTTATTTTTCGAAAACGAATAGTTTTTATAAGTTAATTATAAATATTTATAATGCTTATAAAAAACTTTTTTAAAACTTTTTAACTTTATTTATAATAAAATTAAATTATAATAATATTTCGCGAGTTATTATAAATATTTAATTTATATATTTAAAATAATTATTATAATAATAAATGTTTTTATAAAGCTAATTAAAAAGTTTTTTTATAACGTAATAATAATAATACTTTATTAAGTCTTTAAGTAATTATTATATACCTTTTTTAAAATATTAAAATATATAAAGTGTAATAATATTAAGTTTTTTATAATATTTTTTAAATTTTATAAAATAATAAATTTTATTATTATATAAAATTAAAAGTTTAGTTTTTTTCGACTTATTTCGCGTTGCGTTTACATAATAAAAGATTTATTATCGTAATAACGTAATTTAAATAAGAAGGAAATAATTAATTATTTAAGTTAATAATACGTAAGTTTTCGAGTATTTAGTTTTATAATTAATTATATAAATATATTATTATTTCGCTTTTATAATATTATGCGAAAAACATTATAAAATATTATTAATTTATAATAATTTATTTTTAAATAATATTATTTATATTTAATTATACAAGTTATTTAAGTTTTTATTAATATTATTAAGTTTTAAAATAAATAAATAAATAAA